ACCCCGCTCTAACACTGTTCCAGCTCAGTGTGCTTGCTTAGTCCTCCCTTCCTCTGCCCTCATGTTCAGACCCAGGATTTGTTTCTTGGGTCTTCTCAGGGCAAGGCCCTTGCACCCCCAGTCTGGGGCCAGCAGCTCTGTCCTGGAGTGGAGGAGGGGGTGTTACATAAGATGTTTCTGCAACCAAAGCAGTAGCATCTTACACAGCACTGACCTCTGGGAGTGTGTGTGTGTGTGTGTGTGTGTGTGTGTGTGTGTACTCTGCCAGAGCTGCACGCAGAAGGAGTATTATCTTCCCTCCCTCCCTGGAGAGACTTGGTTTATATAATCTACTTGTCTCCCAGGCCCATTTAGTTATTGAAAGTGGTCAGAGGTTAGACAGCGGGAAACTGCGGCCAGGTCTCCCAGCCAGAGGGAGAAGGTTCCCATGTAGAGACTCGGAGGAGGACTCGGCAGGCCCTGGGGGTGCAGGGTGGTGCCTCAGAGGCACCTGACTGCACCGGTGAAACACACACACCAGCTGGCAAACCAGAAGTCTAGGTTGTCATTTATAGCAGGGGACGGGGGCTCCTACCTGGACTGGCATGACCTGGACTGATGTCTACATGCAGCTTTCGGAGCATCCTGGGAGCGAGGGGTTTGTTGGGTAAAGAATTAGAGCAAAGCCCTAACCAGTTTGGCTCAGTTGATAGAGCGTTGGTCTGTGGTCTGAGGTGTCCCAGGTTCGATTCCAGTCAAGGGCATGTACATTGGTTGTGGGCACATCCCCAGTAGGGGGTGTGCAGGAGGCAGCTGATCGATGTTTCTCTCTCATTGGTGTTTCTAGTTCTCTATCCCTCTCTCTTCCTCTCTGTAAAAAATCAATTATATATATATATATATATATTTTTTTTTTTAATTAGAGCAGAGACCACTTACACTTAAAGGATAATTCTGACAACCTGATTAATCCTTCCTTCTCCACTGGAGGGCTATATCCCATCTAAAAAGCTGGGAGGGGTCTCTGGTTGAAAGCTGGACACCACCACCCCTGGCCAGGCCTGGAGATACCAATTTACTTATTTTTTCTAGATCCTGTGCCACTTGGGTCACTGTGCGCTCTTGCCTGGGGCATGCCACCCAGTGAGCTCTATCTCGTGACAGTGTTTCAGGGCAGCTGCTTCCTAGAGAGTAATTGATGGGGAGAGCCACATTTTTCATTACGGCTGAATCTTCCTCCTCCTCCCCCTCCTCTCCCTACCTCTCCCCCATCTTTCTTTTCCTTCTCCTCCTCCTGCTCTTTCTCCTCTTGCTATTCCTTCTCTTCCCCCCCACTCCCCCCTGCAACACTTGCGATTCCTCTGCCCGGAATATGCTGCACACAGACACTTTTTCCACCTTTTCAAATTGAGTTATAATATACATACCATAAAATTTGCCCTTCTAAAGTGTACAGTTAAATGGTTTTTAATATAATTCACAAGGTTGTGCCACCATTACCACTCTCTAATTCCAGAATTCATTAGCAGTGACTCCCCACTTTCCCTCTCCTCAGCCCCTGACAACGACGAATCTTTTTGTCTCTGCAGATTCGCCCACTCTAGACATTTCGTTAAAATAAATCGCCAACGCGTGGTACTGGCGACTCCCTTCTTCCCCTGAGCATGTTTTCGAGGTTCAGCCATGTTGTAGCATGCACGTCCTCTTTATTGACAGATCATATGCCATCGTGAGGGCATCCCGCATGTATCCAGCCGTCAGCTCATGGACATTTGGGGCGTTTCCATTTGGGGCAATTACAAATAATGCCGCTATGGACTTGTATCTGCACGTCTTCCCTCTCACCAACGACTTTCAAAACCTGATAGCCTGGGTCAGCGGCAGCCTGGTGACAGGCAAGGGGCTAAGCACAGGTGTCCTCCCTCCTCCTGGTGGCCTCACACGTACCCTGTGGACACCGAGATGCCATTGTTTTGGGGGAGTGTGGGCAGCATCGTAAAATACGAGAGTCACTTGGTACCAATCACCAGCTTGTGTCTGAAGGACAAAGGGGCTGGTTGGAGAGGGTTCTCCAGCGAAGCGTGTGTAAACACAGTGCACCCCATTGTATGCCGCGTGCCTGAAAGTTCTATGTAAGTGTCCGAGGAGGCGGGGCTCATTCACCAATAGGCTGGGGCCACAGGTAGCCTGTGGGTGGGACCGGTCCTCCACGGCCTGGATTGTCCCCGGGGAGGGAGAGCCTCAGAGATGCAAGGCTTTGTCAATCACCCGTGTCACTAGGTTCGGCTGATTTGGGGCCTCCCCTTGGTCTCCAGCCTCGGAAAGGGAGTGTAAGCAGATCTCCATGTCCTTCCCCAGAACACCATATGGGCCCCAGGCTCTGGCTGATTCCCTTCGCCTTCCCTGACCTGGGTTTCCCACACACACACACACCCTCACACACACACACACACACTCCCCCTGCACACACCTCTGCTGGACTCTCTCTGCCAAGACTGGGAGCTCCATGAGGACAGGGACCAACAGCCCCGCTTGTCCTGGCACTCTGTGCCTGAGCAGGGTCGGGATCTGGGGGAGGAGAGGGGGAGGGCAACGTTACAAATACTATTCTATGTTCTTTACATGTTTAGCAACTCCCTTAATCCTCATTCAGACCCTAGGAGGCCAGTGCTATTACTCCTCCATTGTACAGGGGTAGGAACTGAGGCACATAGAGGTTAGGTCCTTTGTGCAAAGTCACACAGCCATCAGGAGGAAGAGCCAGTCTGAAGGACACAGCTAAGCTCCAGACCCATTCTTTCAGCTGTTACACTATTTTATGTCCACACATGCATACTGTTCATTTGGGCTGTCGGGGGGTGCGCTCAGAGGTCCCCGCTGTGGCTTAGTTAAAAGAGTGGCCCCACATGCCCACCGGGCCACCTGGAGTCCCGGCACAGAGTTAGGGCTCCATGAGGTTGAGTCTCAGTGCAGCTTCCTCCTGCGTTGGCCATTGTGGGCAGGGAGGAGGCCGGCACACAGGGCAGAGCCCAGCACTCCGAGGCCTAGACGGGGCGGCTGGCACCTTCTGGGCTCGTGGAGGGCCAAGAGTTATGGACAGCTCCCTGTGCCCGGGCTCCAGGCTAAGATACGGCGACCCTGGCCGCCAGCTTAGAGGGAGCCTCTGCTTCCTTCCATTGTCTCTGCCCGGCACGCCCATGTGTTCCCGCAGTGACCTGAGGCGGGAGCGAGGGAGGGAGGGAAGGGGCCACCGGAGCTGCTCAGGGTGGGAGAAGGGAAATGACAGGGGAAGACTTGGTGTTTTTCCTTGTTTGTGTTTTGTATTAAAGAAAGCAAATAATGTCCTTTGAGAAAACCATTAAACAAAGCATATCCTAAAGCCGCAGAGGCCCATTGTGGCTGGCTGGAGCCCGGAATTCATTCAAGCCTTTTTTACTGCATTGTCCACGGCAAGATAGGGTGGGAGGGAGAGACTGTTATTATTTTTAATATGTTTTTATTGGATTTTAGAGAGGGAGGAAGAGAGAGGGGGGAGAGAGAAACACTGATGTGACATCAGTGGCCTGCCTCCTATATGTACCCCGACAGGGGAACGAACCTGCAACCTGGGCTTATGTCCTGTCCGGGATTTGAACTGGCAGCTTTTCGGGGCACGGGATAATGTTCAAACAACTGAGCCATACCGGCCAGGGTGGGAGAGACTGTTATTAAAGCATATTTTGAGATGTGTCATTCTCTCCCTGACTCAACAGGAGTCTAGACTGAGACCAGGGTCCCTGTCCTCCTGCACCTTGTTGCCCCTCTAATGCCTCCCTTGGAGGCTCCCCGAGACTGGCCAGTCCTGGCACAGCAAGAGCTGCCATTGTCCTTCCACACACTCTCCACCCTGATCAGGGGCTGAATCCTGAGCCCCGAGGGCCTGGGCTGCCGGCTCCACAGAACTGCCTCTCTCTAATTCGTTGCATAAGCTTTTTGGACCTCGGTCTCCCTCTCTGTAGAGTAGGGTTTGGGGCAGTGGACCATGTCCAAAACACTGGACTCTGTTACTCCCTCTTTCGCCCTGAGTGTGGCCAAGGTCCTGTGGACTCAGTCAGCCTGTCCCCAGGTGTCCCAGACTCAAGCCACCCCACCCCTCCTCCCAGACCTCCAGGCCTAGCCACCACCACCCGCGACCTCAGGTTGTCCATTATGGATCAGCAGTGCTCTCCCCACATCCCATCAGAACACACTTTTCTGCTGAGCAGAGGGAGGTGGTAAGAACAGAGCTGGCCATCAGCCCAGTTTCTACACATAACCCGCCTGGGGCCTGCGTTTCTGGGATCATCCCCACGTAATAAGCAGAAAAGTCTCTCTCCAATCAGGATGTAAATGTACATCATGTGGTTGTCATGATGATGATATGTAAAAGACCACCCTTAGGATTTCCCCTGGGCACGTAGCTATGTGCACGTTCCCCTTCACGGCTCCTCGGGAGGATAAGGAATGAGAATCTTGGGTAAAATTGCACAGGAGCCCTGGGCGAGAGTGAGGGGCCTGGGTTCTAGCATGTCCCCTTTGCAGGAGGCTCAGGGTCTGCAGGGGGCTCTTCGTCTTGGCCCTGTCACCCGTCTGTCACTCGGAGAAGAAGATGCTGACATTCCTGGTGTGTTGGGGAGCTTGTGAGGGAAGTGACTGGTCAGTGGGATAGACTGTGAGTCCAGGATGTGGTCCCAGCCCTGTGGCCAACTCTGCAAGACCTAAAGCCCCTCATTCACCTCTGGACCTGAGCATTCTCAGCTGCCATTTGAGTGACTGGATGTGATGAGTTCTGAGGTCCCCTGTGTGTCCCTGCTGCTTTTGATTCTGTAATTCCAGCATCATTCATTGCCTGGTGGGAAACTCATTCTCTCTGGTACTGTCCATGTTTCAGTCTGGTCTTTCCGTTTCCTGTTGTCATAGACGTCCCGATGGTTAGTTTGGTCCCAGAAGTTCCTGTGCTCTTTCAGAAGTTACTAACGCTGCCCCTCCTCCCCACACCCCAGGGCTACCACCCGATGCCCCATGAAGTGGAGATTGCGCACACAAAGAAGCTGTTCCGGAGGAGAAGAAATGACCGAAGGTAGGAGAGACTGCGTCTCGAGCTTCTGCTCTTATCTTCCCGTCGCCCATCCGTAGCTCCGTCACTCCTGGCCCGTGCTTTAATACCTGTGAGCTCTGCATGTGGGCTGGTAGGTAACCCATCGGGCAGCAGCAGCTGTGCTTTCCCCGCTGGACCCCGGAAAGGAAGCTCCCCGAATCCAGGAGGCATCTGTGCGGTCCGGGAGGAGAAATGCTCTTCCCACTGACCTCACAGCAGCAGCAGCCCAGGCGCCAGGACGTAGCCGGCGGTGCTTTGAGACATGGCCTCCAGGAGGCTCCGGAGATCACAATTCCAAAGGTGTCTGTCTTTCCTCCTCCCCATGCTCAGCTCTGCCCCTGTGCATGCTGCTGCTCTCAGATGCCTGCAGAGCATTGAACTGAGCAGGAACCAGGACCTCCCTGGCGTCCAGAACCCCAGAACCCCAGGGCCCGGGCGGTACAGGGGCCAGAACAGCGCCCTGAGTGGGAACAAGCAGCCCGGCCTCCGGGAGGGCTGCCTTTGTTTCCTTCCAGGCGTTCTGACAGGGAACAGCCCTCCAGGTTTGTTTCCAATGGAAAACCCCGGGTGCAGAACGGTCTTTGCAGTGTGTGGCCATTTGTGCAAAAGAGTTATCAGGGGATTTTTTTATTTTTTTTATTTTTTGCTTGAACATGCATATAAGTGACTTCTGAATGGAAATATTAAAAAGGGAGGGAGGGGGAGGAAGGAAGGAGGCCGGCCTGCGGAATTAAAATGAGGTGTTCCTCTAGAGGGAGTTTCTTCTTAGATAAAGGCGAGGCTTGTGGTTTTACCTTGAATGAACAGAGAATGTTCTCAGAGAGCCGAGGAGCAGCCCAGCCGACACCTTGCTCAGAGAACTAGAAGTGCCTGTTCTCGCACAGCTCCTGAGATCAGCGCTGGGCTGACCAAGGTCCCCGGTCCTCCCTCCACCCTTGGCCCTGAACGAGGAGTGAGGAGGGGGTGGAGGACCTGGCACCCGGATGCCTCGTCATCGGTTGGCGGGTTTAGCGGGTCTGGGCTGGGAGAAGGGCAGCCCTGGCTTAGCAGTGAGAAGCCCTGGGCACTTTTGCCCAGTGACATGAGGAGGGGGGGACTGGGCCAGAGTTGGATTAAGCCCCGCCCCTGGTTATTGTGCTGCGTGCACCCTCTTTCTTGTGCAGCTTCAGAGAGGCTCATTCCTGGTTTCTGGGCTCCTGGCAGGAAGAAGATGTGGGGAGCACCCCCCCCCCTAAAGGGCGGCTGGGGCTCCACAGGGGTGGTGCTGGGGAGTGCAGAGGCTTGGCGTCCCTCCTCCCCTGCCCCATGGTCCCCAGAGAGCCTGTCTGGAAGTGGGGGCGGCCCCAGGCTTCCGAGTGAGAGGCACCCTCTAACCTGCTTCCCCTGGCTCAGCGTCCAGGTCCCCACCTCCACTCGGGCCAGGTCGCCCGGCGCAGCAGGAGTGCCTGGACCGCGCAGGCCTCCGGAAGGCAGCGGCGTGACCCAGGAATGTAGGAAGAGGAGCGTGACACGAGGCACTGGAAGCTGCCCTTCCGCTGGGCCACTCTGTGTTCACAAACGCCCGGGTTAGGTCAGCACACCTCGCAAAGGATGTGGACCCGGGACGGAGTCCAAAGCCAGGCAATAAAGATGATTAAAGGGATGGAAAATACGTCCTGCGAGGAGAGGCTAATGGACGGGGCCAGAGACACGGAGGCTGCAGGGGAGGGACGCTCTCACCGGTAAACTCATGAGAGATTTCTACAGAGGGAGGGCCGAGGAGCCGCTGCCTCCAAGGTCCCCGGGCCCCACACCGAGGAAACCAGCGGAAAGGGAGCGAGCACGCTCAGCCGGACCGAAGACACACTCAAGGAGCAAACGCCATGACCCTCAGAGGTCTGGCCCTGCCGTGCAGGCAGCAGCCATACACTGAGCCGGTTGTGTGTGCGGGCCGGCGCTCCTCCTTTATTCAGTCTGGAACAGGGACCCGTCTGTCACTCAGCCTCCCAGAGTCCCCGCCGGGGCACGCTCAGAAGAGCAGCAGCCAGAGAGAGTAAGAACCTCGTTATCTGGACTCAGAAGCCAACACCAGAGGCCACCTGAGTCCCTCCTGGCGGAGCGTGTGATCCTGGCATTTGAGGGACGGACGGCTGCTCACAGCTTGGGGCAGGAACTTACAAACTGGACTCTGGTCTTCCCACAGGTCCGCTTCATCTCCCAACTCGCGGGGGGTGGGAGGAGCTCAGGGTGCTCGGGCGAGTTGAAGACTGAGGCACGTGCTGTAGAATTAGACACTAGACATGAACCCTCCTCTGATCTAGGCCAATTGCTTCCTGCCCGAACGCTCTATTTTCTCTTCTGTAAAATGGATCTGTAATTGGAAGGCTTGCACGAGCTACTCCTTGTAAGGTACCAGGAACGGTCTCTGCGCCCGCTCACTCCTCACATTCGAGGGGTTCAAGGCCCTCAGGAAACGCCGTGAGGTGCAAGTGGAGGAGATGTCTGCAGCGAGGGGTGGGGCTCAGCTCCTGGTCTCAGGCGTGCAGGGTTTGCCCCGGAGCCCGGGGAGCTGTGCCTTACATCCTCCCCAGGGTGCCCAGGATCAGTTGTTCCACCTCCTGGATCAGCTTCTTAAGCTCTGCCCTCGGTGGGGCCCGGTGGGAAGGAGGCCCCTCCAGAGAGGCTCTGCAGACCGCTCCCACGTCCAAGGGACTGGGGACGTCTTCTCCTCCTGTATCAGATAAAGCTTAAGCTCGGAAGCAGTGCCAAGGTTTATTCCTAGAATTGTTCCTAAAACTTAACACAACTGGCAACTACTTGTTTATTCTGCGAAACTGGTCCAAGATGTTTGCTGATTCCAGACAAAAATCGTGCATTTTGTGACGTAAACGTGCTGAATGAGTGTTTCATGCATCCCCCTCAACGAGCAAGGTGCCTCGGGCACTCCGTCCCATCCACATTGGAGGCCTGCTGACCAGGAGGCGGGCCACGACGGTTTGTCTCCCGCCTCAAGTTCCCCACCGTTGGGATGCATGGCAGAAGAGCAACCTCAGAACAGGGCTGAGTCCTGGCCGTGTGCGGACCCTCTGCCAGGGTTGGCTTGGGCCTCACCTCCAGTGTGGGGATCTGCTCTACTCCTGCCCCCCCTCCCTCCGCCCCCGCTCCATTGGAAGAGATGAACAGCCTGAGGCTGTGAACGGATCTCTGTCAGAGTCTGTGTTCCCCTGGGAAGGACGCTCTGGGATGGAGATCAATGGCAGAACACTTACCACAGAGCGCACCGGGGACCATCGCGTCCAGGGAGGGCAGGGCAGGACTGGGCAGAGGGAGGAGGTGAGCTGCAGCGTGGCCTGGGTCAGAAGTTCTACCCTCCGGGCAATTCTGAAGTCGGGTGACTTTTTAGAGTGAAGGGGCAGGTCCTTATGTCCCCATGTCTGCTGGTCATCGGATGGGGAGTGCTCAGTGGTGGGTGTGACCTAGAGCTGGGAGTTCTCTTAGCCCAGGGCAGTTTTCCTGGGGGCAGGGTGCCCAGAGAGCTCCAGAGAAGTCCCTCCCCTCCTCCCGCCCCCGCCATCCCTGGTCCCCAGGAAGTGCTGCGGGGCCACATGCTGGGCGCTCTGGAGTGAACAGGTCCTCCAGCAGCCACAATTGGCTTGGTATCCTCTTAATTGTAGAACCAAGTAAGATCTCCTCCCTCCTTCCCTTCCTCTGCCAGCCTGTGTTAAACCCCCTTGGGTGCCAGACTCTTTCTTCAGGGACAAACAGGATATCTGCACTCAAGTACGAAAATGTAATTTCAGAATTGTCATTAACGCTTGTGAAGCCGCTCCATGGCACACTGACAGTGCACCCCGTGCTCATTCCATCCTGGAGGCCACCTGACTCCCCTCCTCCTCACGTCTGAGCTGTGGACGAGGAGGACCCTGGGAGACGATGCCAGTGCCTCCTTACTCCCCGTCTAAGTCACAGTTGCTCTCTGGAGCTGGCCGCTCCCTTGTCACCTCAGCCCGCTTCTCCAGGAATCCTGCATCCCATGAAGACGACTGCGTCCCGGATGGTGCCCACCAGGAGCTGAGCAATTCACTGAGCATGGAGCCTGCGTCTCTGTCAGCTCTTGTACATGAGTCATTGAGCCCCTTTGGAAGCACAGTCCTCACATTTCATGGACTGCGTACTTGAGAATTTACCTACTCTCTCCCGTTCATTTGCAACCCTCCACCTACTCGGTGTTTTCGTGGTTGTTCATGGACCGAAGGGAGAAGCACTCGAGTTGCCCGGCACCCACCTGCCCAGCCCAGGAGATGCCCTGCCTCCTGGTTTCAGTTCTCATGCTGTGCACCACGTCCTCTCTGAGATCCGTGTAATGCCGTGTTTCTTGCATTCGTGTGCTTTTTGTTGGGGAATTTGCTGTTTAACATGACACCCAGGCGTAGAGCTGAAGCGCTGTTGTGTGCTCCTCAGCACCAGCAGGCTGCGATGTGCCTTCCGGAAAAAGTGCATGTTCGATAAGCTTCCTTCGGGCCTGCGTGGCGGTGCTGTTGGCCAGGAGTTCGATGCTGACACAGTGAATCAACAATGTATGTTAAATAAGCGGTCTTTGAACAGAAGCACACATACAACAGGCTGTGCGTGGATCAGTGGGAGAAAATGCAGGGAGCAGCCGAAACCTGTTTGACTCAGTGGATAGAGCGTCAGCCTGTGAACTGAAAGGCCCCAGGTTCAATTCTGGTCTAGGGCATGTACCTTGGTTGTGGGCACATCCCCAGTGGGGGGGGTGCAAGAGGCGGATGATCGATGTTTCTAACTCTCTATCCCTCTCTCTTTCTCTTTGTAAAAAATCACTAAAATATATTTTTTTTTTAAAAAGAAAGAAAGAAAGAAAAGAAAATTCAGGGAGCAGTGGCTTACAGGAACCTCCCCGGTACTGCCCCTGGGAGCCATGGTCCAGTAGTCACACCAGTGTTTTGGGGTTTTGTAGAACAGCCAGGATTTTACTGTGCTTG